AGCTCTGCTAACGAATCTTAACTCATTTGCATGGCCAGAACCTAATCCTAATGAAACTTCATGGTAGGAAACTAACATGCTTTTTTTGCTTGCAAACCATTCCCTTGCTGCAAAGCCGTGCTTGTAAAAAAAGAAAAGAAAACCCGCCAGACGGTATGGCAGAGCATGATGCTTCATGACAGAGCATGGAACATACAAGGACCCCAAATGCAAACCAGACGACTCCAGTAAATCAGAATTCTTGAGCAAGTCTGCCTGGAAACACATACTGCTTTTCCTTCAGAGACACATTAAAGGATGGATTTGAGTTATGCTAATGAATCTGGATTTGTTAGGAGGGATCACATCTGATCCCTATGTAACACCAAAGGAGATTCATCAGCTACACTTTATTAAACTAGAAAGAAAAAAAATCCTGAAATTGAAAGAAGATAAATAGGAGCTCAAGCCTCAACTACCTTACTGAAATATCCAATAAAATAAATTGCAATGCTGTACGGCAGGCAGCAAAGTTTGTGACACACCCGTGCAAATGCCTCCCATCTCCATGTAGTGCCCACTAATGTTCTTGTTTTCGAAATTCACAGGCAAGCAACACAAACCAAAATTTTGTCAGGTAACTGAAAGGGCTCTACATATGGTTGGTGGTCTTTAAGCTATGGACCACTAGTTTTGCAGGCCTAACATAAAACAGTTGTCAAATGGCGGAGGACTATTTTGATACAAGGGTAGTCAGACAGCAGGAAGATTCTTTATGTGATTACATAGTTTTGACACTTAATGGGAAAAACCCTTGACTTCACATAGTGATGAGAGAGGACCAAATAATTAATTGAAATGATTTAGGCAGCAGTGCTATCCTATTTACGCACATACCTAGGAATAAGTTGCACTGAATTCAGCAAGAGTTACTTCTACATGTATTTACCAAAAAAAAAAAAAAAGCTAAAAAAATCAAGACAATGCCCAACAATTGAAAACACCCTAAACATACATACAGCAAGAACATTATGAAGAAATGCAGAAGACTGCATTCTTAAGATCCCAGCTGGACTGTGACACATTTGGTGATGGCATCCCAACCAAATTGGACTAAAATAGATTTGTCTAGCTATGTAAGTGCTTATTGTGAAAGATGGGAGATGCATAGTTCTGTATGTAAGACTGCCTGTATGATTTTGTTCTACTATCAGCAATTGGGTTCCCCTCGCCTCATAAACTGTAGTGTTCAGTTTGACTGTATTTACATTGGTTTAGTTTCTTGTTGTTCGCCACTTAAAGAGCCCTGTCAGGTTATTTAGTGGCCTATAAAATTTAAAATAAATAAATATGTGTCTATGAAAATTTAATGAATCACTGATGCAGATGCAATGGACAGATTTTCAAAATCTACTGATCCTGAAAATGTAGAAAGTTGCACTTTACTTTGAAGCCAAGTGAAAAAACATGCAAGTGCAAATGACAACATTCAAATAGAGTATGATCAATTATGAATAGCACAAACATATTTACATGGCCAGGTTTCCTTATGATAAAATGGGAGTGAGGATCCAGTCTTTCTTATCAGTGAGGTTTATTACATGTAGATCCTGCCTTTCCTATAAGGATCTCAAGATAGCATACATCCAGAGATGGAAAAACAAATTTGGCCCAACAGCCTGGCTCATTAGTCTGTGGGGCTTCAGTGGAAGCCCTTTCCTTGAACTGCATGTCTCTCCAAAACCACACCCTTGGAGGCTAGCGGGAAAGGAACATCCAGTGCTTTTACTGAACAAAAATTAGAGAGATTAGAGAGAACAATAAGGGTTCCCTTTTGTATTTTGTAACTCTCCCAACTGAATAATTCACCCTCCCCCACTGGAAGAGAGGGCTGCATGGTAAGTGTCTTGTTCCATCCTTGTTCTCCCAGTGTTGGGAAAGGCATAAGGCAGGTAAAGTTGCCTAGACTTAGGAACCAGCTGGAGCTGAGCTCCTCCAGAAAGGGTCTCCACAGGCCCAGCTCTGCAATCCATGAACTTTTCCCATCCAGGGAAAGCCTGCACACAGCAAAACTGACTAAAGCACTAGCTGGACGAACTCCAGTCTGCATTTTTACTGGTTTTCAGCTAACATCTGAAGACTGGTGTCCCACCAATACTATCCAACCTGCAGGGGGCTTGGTGGGGAGGGTCAGCTGTCTCCCTGTACAGTTTGTTGTGGATGGTCCATGGCTATCCTTCCATTTCATCATCAACTCTGTGAGGAAGGTTGGAGTGAAAAATAGAGATTGGCTAAGGGTTATTGTATCTGCATTGTAAGATACAGTAAGCATTGTATCTGAGTGGGAATCTTAATCTGGAGTCTTGCTAGTCTAACCTAACCTAATATACAAAGTACATTATACATGTCTATTGAATAGTAAGTCCTACTGAGTTACATTTGCAGCCTAACTCAGTTATACTTTTTGTACCTAATGAGGAAAGCTGTCAATTGATTAAAATGGTTCTTAACTGCAACCCTGCGCAAACTCCAGCTGTGCTAAACCAAGCTGGTCACAGTATCTATTAGAAAAACTTTTAAAAACTCTGTTTTCTCATTCCAAGGCTGAGCATCTTTCAGAAGAATTGTAACCTTTGAATTTTGACAGGATTTTAGCAGCTGGGAATAAGCAAGCATTATTATCATATTTTACCTGTAATAAATATTGTATATGGGCAGTTTATCCATGCCACCTCGACTGGTCCTTCAGAATAAAAATGTCAGTGAATAAATCAATAATGACTCTGTGCTCCTATTCATGTTTGCACAACATCTGAAAGATGACTGTGAACATGCTTTGGTGATCTAAGTATAAGTTTGCCACCAGTCATTTTACTGCTATAATTCAGAGCAAGAATGAAATTGGAGTGAGGGAACTCATAACTGTATTAGTATAGTTCCAGTACATTGAATGGGATTTCACCAGTGTAAGTGTCAGTGTAATCACTATACTCAGCCTTGATGGATCAGATAATCAAATGAATCATCATCTTTACTCGGTTTCTTTGATTTTCCATACTTCTCTCTCAGTGGAGCTGCCCTCATTTGCAATGGGGAAAGCCCTTCCATTAGTTCAAAATTGCTGGAACACAACCAGAACATCTAGTATACTATGTCTGCGTGCAGCTGGTGCCCAAAAACCTTTAACTGCCTAATTTACATGAGCAGTTGTAGTTTTAACATGCACTCACTGGTGGCTGGACAAATTTTCAATGAAGAATTTTAGGATATTAGAGGTTTTAAAACTGAGCCTTCTGCAAATCCTTCAAGCTAGTCACAAGTTATCCACACACATCCATTAGAAGCAAACTAAAAGGACCATTTTCTGCTGAAGTGAAAGCATTTCACCCCTAAATAAAATGGCTGCAGTCAAGTGTATTTTAAGTTAACAGTTCACATGAAGCTCTGTGAGTGTAGGTTTGGTCCACATGCCAGGTATAGCACACAATAGAGATCTTCCACTGCATAGCATATTCCTGATGTAAAGAAGAACAGGAAAGCCTGTATTCATTAGTATTCTCTTGTGCACCGTTATGCACCATTAAGCTTTGGCTGACGCCCAATATGTGTACGCAATCCACATGTACCCTCCTGTAAACTAGCTGGAGGAGATCCACTTCTGGGGAGCTTTTCTCTTCAAGCAACTACCGAGTTGCTCAAAGAAGCTAACATAGATGCCATTTGCACATACTATATCCACTAATACCAACATGGCAAAAAGGGTAAGACTAGTAGAGCTTCCATGCACTCTTCCAAAGCTCTGAAAAGAAGCTTCACACATACAAACTGCACACACATATTATTTTTCCACTTGGTTTGCATTTTTTCAAATTGCAGATTTTGTGCTCGGGGTCATAAAGTGTGTATAGGTTATGCATGCACTGACTTTATTTAGAGCTTCAGATCAACTAGTGGAGGCTAGGACCACTTTACAAAATAGCGCTTCCTTGCCCACTCATTGGATTAAATCCAACATTGTAAAAGTGCACTTACACTCCCAAAATGGGACTTCTCCTTGCTTATCTACTTTCACCCATATCTGTTCCCTCCTGTAGAGGGGAGGGAAATCCATTCCAGCAGTGGTTTCTGCACAGCTGGTGAACAGCCAGGGTACATACAACCTGCTCACATTTCCAGACATTGCACATAAGCCCATGATGGGACCAGCAAACCTGAATCTGGTAAACTGGGTGATAAAAGTTTTGTAAAATAAAATAGGTTTAACATTTACAGACCTATTTGTACATCCCTATTTGCATGGATCATGCCCATTGTGTTTACATTGGGATGAAAATTGTTTAATTACATTAAAAATTTGTGACTAAGAAAATCTTGCCAAGCTGGTATGACTAATACAAATCCTGACAACTTATATACATAATCAGCCAAGGTATTAACAAGATCCCTTTTCCTATCTTGTTCCTCACTTCACCTTTTTTGATTTGCAGAATGGAGCAAATATGGCAATCAGAAAAAGTTAGACATCAGTCATTATGCTTCTCTTGTGTTTTCATTATGCAAGCAGCAATTCTAATGTTTATGCATCATAGAGAATATAACCTTCATCAATTTAAATAGAAGTCTGAAATGGTACCCTTTAGAAATATTACTGATGGAATGTGCTTTTTCCAGAATAAGTGTCCCTGTGGCCATAGTTAGTCATAAAGGATGGGCACAGAGATCGATGGAAAGCTCTGCTAGTCCTTGGTACACATTCAGTGAGCTATCAGAGCCATTGCATAGTCCTTTTTACTTATCCAACTATCACTTTTCACAAGTTTTGGCTATTACTAATTAATTCCTATCTAAAACACCGCATCCATGAGGGGATAGAACATGTCTTAAGATTTTCTAAAAAAACACTGTAAGAATATCTTGATACCAACATATGCCTAAAGAAAGCGTTCTAAGAAGAGTGACCACTTTAAGAGGAAAAGCACACACCACACACATGCATATGCAGATTTAAAAGGAAAACACACCTTTAATGATCCCCTTTTCTTGCAAAGTTTTCAGTGAAGGTCTTCGGGTGATAAACTTCTTTAATCTGCTTTTAACTCGTTTTCTCTCAGTAGTATCAGAAATACTGTAGTTCAACTTGAAAACTGTAAAAAAAGAGGTAAATGCTGTTACATTTTAATATGGAACATTTTGCTGGAATTCTGGAAAAATCTGATGGTCCTCTATCCAGCAGACTGATGTGTGGGATGATCCAAATAGAATCTGATTAATATTATTGTGAATAAGCATTATGAGTTGAAAGAGTCATATTAGTAATAGTTCCTGTTATTGGACAGTGATCAATATATGTGTGTGAAAGTTCAATGTATCCCAAAAGTACATATCTCTAGCACATATGGTTCTGTATCTGCAAATTAAAGTGTGCTGTTTATCATTTCTTAGAGAAATAATATGGGATGGACAATATTACATGATTGGGAGAGGACAGAAACTCTTTGCCAAGTTCAGAAAGGCATCAAATAGTCATTGTACAAAGCATGCCTTTATAGAAAATCTCATTGTTGAGGAGGAAGAATAGTTCAAAAACTCAGAGCAAATTAGAAGGAACTTGGGTTAGGATTGCACTCTAAGGAAGCCAAGCTTCAACTTCAGCTTTTTGGGACACTTACAGTTTAATAAATCTTACAGTATAATTAGACTACAGCTTTCAGGATGCACTGAAGGATCCCAAGGCACTTCACTAGTAGAAGAGCATATATACTTGTGGCATAGGTACGCTTTCCAAATGACCTTTGTTGGCACTGGATAGCCATGCCACTAGGAGAAAAATGGGTACTCTGCACAAGGGGGCAAATTCTTTTTATGTAGATCTGGGAAGCAGGATCTAGGGTGCTCTAGAGGATTCTTGAAAGCTTTTAATTACTCCTAAGACAGCTTGTGTTCCAAATGTGTGAAGTTCTATTTTCCTTTCCCTACAGAAAAACTATCCAAGATACAACAGGTTTTGAACCAAAACTAGAAACACATCACAGGGCTTTTTTTAGAAAGAAAATAAAGAGCATTTGTTAAGAGGAGAAAAATGAAATGATACATTAAAATGCCTTTTCCTGAACCTGGGACTAGTTCAAGAAGCCTACTTAACAAGAGAAGAATTCAAGAATACTGTATCTTACATTACGGAGTTGACAGTAAAAAAACAAAATGAAACAAAGGGGGGTTTTCACTTTGCTGCTCTCTAGGGATAAATATGTGCCAGATTCTTCATTTCAAATAAATACAACATACCAAATTAAGGAAAACAACATTTAAACACATGCCTATGGTAATCAGAGCATACTTTGCTTCTGATTTCACTACTGATTCGAACAGAGGACTGTTCCGTTTTCCCACAGCACTGAACTGACCCCACACATACTTCAGCAAGCTAGTAATCACAAAGGATGTATAAAAGGACACTTTTACTGGAACATTCACAGCATGGGACAATAATCCATCACTTATGGAAAAAAGTCACATTATAGTGATAGCATTCTTAGGGTGATATATCATAGTATACAGAGATTAGTGTTCAATTAATGGCTAGCTCTTTTGTTCAAGTTCTATTTTAGAAATTCTGGGTTCAAACGGGAACAATCTTTGGCAGTGATATCCTAAAATTCCAACCCATTCAGCCTTAGTGCAAAAAGAGAAATAGATTCACATTTTTAAGGCTACACACTTGGTGCTATGTTGGAAAAGAGAAATTAAACACCAGTGTTATTTGTTCTCTAGGTGGCTTATAGTTTGGCATCTCTCATATATCTGCACATATTTAAATGCATTTAGAACCTAAATAAAGCACCGTTAAACATCGCATTGAAAATAAACAGTGTTTCAAAGTGCCTAATTCTAGAGGGCCTGTGCCCATTGTACAAATTGCCTGGATAAGCACTATAATGCTTTGTGTCCAGCGTGTAGTCCTAGTTTAATAGCATCCCATTCAACAGCATCCCCATATGATGGCCAATATGAAAGTTAGGTTGCACACACGCCTTTGAATAGTACATATACACTATGTACCTTTGACATGGAATATTAAATTTGTCTCGAATACTGGCAAATTTTTAAAAATGCCTTTGGTCCTCAGTAAGAGAGGTTGTTGTGTTGTTATACTACATTTATATCCCACTTTTTCTCATGTGAGAAAAGGTGGCTTACAGAGCTCCATTTTGTCCTTGCAACAACATACCTTGGAGGAAGGTTAGGCTAAGAGTGAATGACTGGCCCAAAGTCATCCAGTGAGCTTCATGGCCAAGTGGGGACTATAACCCGGATCTCTCAGGTACCCAGCACAACCACCACACCACATTCATACTGCTTTGGACAGAAAACATCTTAAAAACAAAAATAATTTCTGTGAGAAACATGGACAAAATGCATATGCATTTGCAGGCCGAAGTGCAGTGGCAAATTGGGCCTGCTCCAAATGGTAGAGATCAGTATGTCTGTAATACAAATCAAAGGAACATGTTAAGATGCCATGCATGATCCTTTAGCAACCACCACAATTGTGTTTGTTGTTGTTATCTAGCTTAGACCCTACAAACTGAGAACTGACTTTTTCATATTTTCATAATGCAAGAGGAAACATCAGTTAACACCTGAGATCTCCTGTGAAACCAGTTTAATTTGGAATTATTTTGGAAGGGAATGATAAAGGTGAGCAGCTTCATTTTGAGTGTATTTGCCTGATGAATGAATTAGTAGCACTTATTGATTATAACGTGACACCTAACCCTTTGGTACACTAGCCATGTATAAGTGAGAAGGGCAACTTGCATGTCCAGTTTGCAAAATGAAACTGAAAGTCCATGATTTGCCCAAATGGCTCTGGGGCAAAACCCAGCTAAGGGAGGAAATTGTGCAGCGCCATGGTGATCCTCCGTATGTTTCCTCATGTTTGCTAAGTACAACACGAGCCTAGGCTCACTCTGAAGAGCCTCTCTTTCACAGTTTGCAAAACATCTATTCTAAACCCCATGGGTTTCCCACCTGTGATTAATTCTTGCCCAGAACAATGTTATCTCAGTACTTTAGGCATATGTTGTGAGCATTGGTTTTTGAAGAACTATCCATTAATGACTTTCTGAACTGTGACAATGGATATTGACAGTACTTGTCAGACTAAAGCACTATTGATTGTTTCACATCATGTGTATAGCAAAACCAATTTCTTTCAAGTGCCACTTTCCTAACTGAAATACATTAGAACAGCGCCTATCGGTTCATTATGATGCCCCAAATTATAGCATCAGAAGAAAAAGTCTTCATTAAGCATGTGCACCCCTGTTGTAAAATGTTAAGTGGCTGTGATAACAGGTAAAACCTCCAGTCCTACTTGGAGTAGACCCACTGAAGTGAATAGGATTTATGTTAGTCATTGCTACTGTAAGCAAGAGCTCCATTCAGGTTTATTCTAGACTACTTTTCAGGTATGGCATTTAAATGACGCAACACCCTCTTATTGCTAGTTATGCTGCTTCTGTAGCAATGTGTGCAGCAAGGAAAATCTCTGGTGCTTCTCTTGGCCTGGCCCTGCCCAGCTGCACCTAGGCAGCTATTGTACACATTCACTTAGAGAAGGGTTTTGCAGGGAGAGGGCTATTCCAATGATGATGGAACATGGAAGTTCTCATATGGGAACTCTGGAAGCAGAGTTTAGCCACCTTGCTCCCTTTGCTGTTGAATTCGCTTGCAAGCAGCAGGAACTGCTGGCTTGAACCTGCAGTAGGACCTCTGCTGCTACATGCTTGTGTGTATGCTCAGGCATGCTAGTTTTCAGCCAACAGGACTGAGGGAGTGTGAGGAAGCAGGACATTTCCACCTATCTTTATGTATCTGCTGATGCTGTCCAGGCTGAGCTGCTTGTTGACTTAATGAGTCTCTGCTCAGAGCTCGGCTTGAACCCCTATTGAGCTTTTGGCTTGCATATCTGTCTGACAGACAGCCACTGCCTCCTAATTACATTTGCTGCTTGCCACTCCCCTTACCCATTGATCTAACAACTGAGCTTGTGCCAGGGTATTTTAAAGCATACACTCATGATATAATCCAAACAAATTGTATTGCACCCTGACTTGGCTGGGTAAAATTGCAACAGCAGCAACAGCTTTACCCAGACTCAGGGAATTTTATTCTCCAGTAACTCTTCATTAGCATGTGAAATGATGCTAAGCTTCCAAAAGATCTAGGTTGGGAACCTCTTAGAAGGATCAAGCAATGTGAGGTTTTGCTAACTGCATCTTCACTTCCATTGCTATCCACCATCCAGTTGTCCCCATGTTTCCAGAGCTTGGAAGATGAGGACTGTTTACACACTGACTAAACCCTGCTGTGGACAACAAGAGGCTGCACCTTGAATCTTGTCTTCCTTTTGACCATGATTATCCACTTTTGTCACTGATTTGCACCCACTGGATTTGCAAACATGTAACATGAGAACGCATATCAGATGCTATTTGCTCACAAAGCAAGAGCCATTTATGTTCTGGAAAGGATGCCAAATCTTAGTTGTTCCCGCAAATCAATGCTGACACATAATCAGCATTTATCTTAATTAGTCCTGAAATATGTGAGAAGAGTGACAGGGTGACACTTATCACTGCACAAATATACCAGCAGCAAGTAAAACAGGAAAGCAAAGACACAAAGATATGTGCAATTGGCTGGGAGACACACTGAAAGCCAAAGTCTGGTCATCACACATCTATATTGCTAAGGAATCAGAGGTGGCTTGCAATGTAGCTGAACTTCAATAATTCCAAATGTGTTCACATGGTATTTCTTCCCAAGAGGTGCCCACAGCAGCTAAGTAGCATTATGAAAGGAGAGAAAGAGAGAAAAGGACAATGATTATATGTTCTGAATCTGAATAATTTTACAGTGATATGACAGCTTGACAACTTAAATGCCCAATATTGCCATTATACTTCTTGTGCATTTGCAGTAAAGCCTCAATAAAATCACGGTGTAATTTTTTTTCTGTATGAAACACTTGTATTTTTGCTTTGTTGGTTTTTTTATGGAAATGTTTGTCCTTGCTGCAAGAGAAAATGAAAATATGTGACGATAGTATATTGAGCATCATTGCAGCAGATATGCTATT